CTCCTGAAGGTATTAGCTCAGATTTCTCATACGCTCTTCATAATGTTACAGATGTTGTGTTAGCATTTCCGAAGAATGCAATGCAAAGAACGGTTTTAGAAAATCCAATGCTTCGAGGTCTTCAGGTCACTATAGATTCCAGAAACTTCCCCGATCAAGCGATGACCACAGTGGGTGACATATTCTTTACACGTATGCTTCAAGCTTCTGATTTAGATGGAGTGAATGAATGCACAGAAGAATACGAGGACTCATTAACTAGACCACTGAATGCAGATGATGGCACGCCATTAGCTAGAACATGGAAAGACCAAACTTCATTCTTATGCACTATTCCAGTTCAACGTGATGGAGCGGGTATATTCTTTGATGGATTAGAAACTTTCAACTCACAAGTTACAGTACAAATGAAAGCTTATCCAATCATTCAGGGTGAAAATGACACTTACTGTTCAAAGGTGACAAATCCTCCTCAGGTTTGGTTTACTAGGACTACATATTGGACATGGACACCGGATGAAGGTTTGAAATATCATCCAACAGGTACACCACCACAGTATAGAAGTTCATATGATGAAATATTGATGAATAGAAATGTTTAAAATTATAAATTTATTTTTGATTAAATGGATTTAAATTCATACACGCCTTATGAAGAATTAGCAGGAGTATATAATACATACATAGATGATATGATTAATGAAGCATTGAGTGATAATAGAAATGCTCTATCTAAGGAAAAATTAATGAAAATTCCATATTCTGAATGTTACTTAAATTCAATCACTGCAGCAATTGGTAAACAAAATAAAGGTAAAACATTAACGATATTAAAACAAATTATCATTATTGCTAACACTTCCCCCTATTCACATGTGTTAATTTATATCAACCGTTCAGGTTCACCTTCAGATGATACATTTGAATCTTTAAAGCATTTAATCAAAATTCCAATTATTTATTTATCACAAGAAGAAGCAGAAGATTATTTAAAAAACTTTTTAATGTATAAAGAATTATTGATAAACAACGGGATGAATTATTTGAAACACTTTCTATTTCAAATTTTGATAGAGAATTTTTGCATTCACTCATTTTTCTAGATGATGCAGTGAAATCAAAACTAATAACAAATGAGAAATCATATTTTAATCAGTTATTAACTCAATGTCGACACATTCAGTGTTCATTCTTCATGGCTGTTCAATACTTCAAAGCATTAAGCACAAACATTAAATCAAATCTATCAACCCTTTTCATTTTCAGTGGGTTTAGTCGTCAACAGTTGAACGTTATGCTTTATCAAGTGAATTTACCAATGAGCATTAATGAACTTTACACACAATATCAACAATTAGGTGAACATGGAAAAATAATAGTTGATTTAAATAAAGGAAGTGTTAAATTTGATTAACTTTTTATAATTAATTTTTATTTTTTATTTATAATTAAACATGACAGAAATAGCAAATCTTCTACAGGTTCCATTAAAACAAGGAACAAACAAAAAGGGTGCATATAATAGAACTATGAAAGTTCCTGATGGAATGAAAGAATTAGTTCATATTGTTGCTGGTCTTCAAAAAGATGTTAAACAAATGAGAAACGTTTTAACATTACCAGAAGCTCAAGCATATGCCAAACGTCAAGGTCCAAATTGGGAAGCACACGAAGCAGACATTACGGGTCCAAATGGAAAACCTGATGGTATAAATGAAGTTTTCATTACTGATGGTCAAGGTAATATTAAAGTCATAAATGGTGACAAATTAACTATAACTGATTATCCTAAACGTAAAGCATATAATGAACGTTATCCTATGCAATTTGATGAAAATGGAAAAGCTGTTAAACAATACATTGGAGAAGGTGAAAATGGTCCAATTAATTCATACCGTTATAATCCATATTCTTATTTCAATGAAGAATTAAATGCTATTGAAGAGGGACCGGATGGATTACCACGATATTCTAACCAGTTTGATGGTCAATATGCAAATATTAGACCTGAAATTTCAGCTAAGAAATTCTTTAAAGTTGCTTTATTCGATCCAGGTTTCGCAAATGTTAAAGATGAACTTAAACATCAATTCCAACCAATTATAGTAGCAAGAATTGCATCAGGTGCTTTATCTCAAGCATTCAAAGATTTAATTAAGAAACCATTATATCAGCAACGAGGTTTAACTTATGATTTAGTTAAGGAATCAGATAAAAGAAAATTTGAGAAATCAGATGATTATAAGAATGCAATTAATGAATATATTAGATCTTTTAATTACAATGAACCAGCTAAAAATCAACTTCAAGAACAAATACAGGGAATAATAGATTCAAAACATCCAGCAAAATAAAAGTTTAAATATATTTTTTTATTCGATTATAAATGAGAAGACATTTCAACAGTCAAAAGAACACTAACGCAAAAGCAGAGATTACGGTTGGTTATAACGTAAATGATGATAAATCACGAATTATTCAAAATGTTAAAGTTAATGTTAGCCCTGAATTAACAAGGTCAGCAACTCAACCAAATTTATTAACTCGTGACTTACCGAAGAATGAGGAGAATGAAGAAAACCATGAGAATGGAGACCCAATCATTTTATCTGAACCTGGTAAAGAACCTGTTGAAATTCCCACTTATCCAACATACCCCCCGCCTCTTTCATCAAACATCGAGAACCCATATAAAATAGACATTAATTCTGAATTAATGAAAATTTACCGTGATATAATAACTGATAATTATGATTCAATAATAAATTTAATTGATCAATCCGGTTTAATTATTTTACCTTATGAATCATTAATTCACATTATTGCCATTCTTTGTGATGTTCAAGATTCAGACGTTAAGATTCAATTTTTCATAGATGATGAGGTTTCATGCTGCGGAACAGTTGCAAAAATAAATCCTATAAAGGATATTAGCACAATTAAGATATCAAAGAACGGAACAACAACTGAACTTCATTTAACATATAATGATATTTATAATAAAATAGTTGATGAATATAAAATATCACTTGAAAAATTCTTTGTTAAGGCTATTTAATATTCAAGCATTAACATTATCGAATAATAATCCTTTGAATCATAATCAATAATAATTGACCTTTCACCAGTTTCTATCGTTTGTTTTATTTCTTTTTGTTCCCCACTATCCGGATCGGTCATTGTAATTGTTTTTGTTATAGTATCAGCTTTATCTTTAACTTCAATCTTTTTTTCCATCGGGATATTTAAACCAAAATTCCAAAAATTCGATATTGTCAATCTGTTCATATTTTAATCTATCAATTACATTTTTAATACCATCTGAAAATCTTATGAAATGGTCATTATATGGGTTTGATTGAACTAAATTTGAATGAAGTGAAATATAACCTGTTGATGAATATGACACTGACTCATATTTTCTGAAAACACTAAAATTTATAACATGAATGAATTTCTTATTCGTTGAATTTATGAATTCTTGAGGTAATCTTATTCTAGTTTTTTTATCACTGGAAAATAACGCTTTACCATATTTTTAATCGTAATAAAAAATGTCAATTATCAATATTATTTCGAATAATAACTGTGAATTAAATTTAACAGTTAGCGGAATTTATAATGTTACTCTCGTTTCTGTGAGTGGTAAATTTAATCCCATTCTTTTAGACCCTTCAGATTATATATCATTTATTAAAGATGACCTTGAAAAAACGTATAATATGTATATAAATAATGTGATAGCGAAATGGGATATTAACATGATTTTAAGTTATTTAAATGAATCATTTATCGTATGGTATGAAGAAAATTTTAAATCAAAACCTGATAAACTTTTTGAACTTGATGAAATAAATAACCTTATTAAATTTCCGCTGAAAATTAAATTTTGTACTCCTCATCTTCGTTCATTGTTGGGGATATTAAATTTTGAAAAAGATGTTGGGGATGTTTTGTATTCTGACACTGGTTCCAATTTCATTTTAATCAAATGTGATAAAGTTAATACCCCAATGAGATTTTCACATCAAACATTAGACCCAAACTCTTACCCATCAATACAAAACATTTTATCCATCAACTTAAACACATTTTCTTTATCATATCCGTTTCAATTATCCGGGAATTCATTTATTCTTCATTCAAAAGATTTATCAAATATTAAATTTAGAGTAACTGACCTATTTGATTGTGATTTAGAATTTATGAATGAAATATTATGGCAATTTCAAATAGAGAAAATAGCCGATGAGATAACGGATTAAATATTTATTTTTAAATCGTAATAAATGATTAAACAACAGCAACTTAAGGCGCAAAGCGCCCAGGTCCTTCAGACCATTACATACGCCACATATGCATATAATTCAAAGACGGCAGAACAAACGCAAAGGTTGAAATATGGAGATTTGGAGATAGTATTGAAAAATGACCATTTCGAATTCGTTTGCAAAGGTGGTGCAGTGATATCAAATATAAAAGAAATTTTATTTATGAATTCAAAAATTAAAGGAATAACGGATGATATAACATCAATTCCACCAGAAGAACAGAGATATTACGCATTAAATGCATTTCCTAAAGTTTTGAAGATTGGAAGATTTAATTTAAATGAGGAATTCATAGAAGGTTTCCTAAATGACATAATGAAGAAGGTGGATAAGGAATATGTGGATAGTGAGTTAATGAAGAAAGCAGATTTAGTTTATGTTGATGAAAAAGATAATGAAATTAAAGAAAAGGTTGAATGGTATCATGAATGGACATTGGAGACTTTTAAAGTTAAAGCTGATACAGAATGGGTTTCAGGATGTTTAGACCTTAAAGCAGATAAGGAATACGTTAATACTGAATTAAATAAGAAGGCAAATTTGGTTTATGTTGATGAAAAAGATAATGAAATTAAAGAAAAGGTTGAATGGTATCATGAATGGACATTGGAGACTTTTAAAGTTAAAGCTGATACAGAATGGGTTTCAGGATGTTTAGACCTTAAAGCAGATAAGGAATACGTTAATACTGAATTAAATAAGAAGGCAAATTTAGTTTATGTTGATGAAAAAGATAATGAAATTAAAGAAAAGGTTGAATGGTATCATGAATGGACATTGGAGACTTTTAAAGTTAAAGCTGATACAGAATGGGTTTCAGGATGTTTAGACCTTAAAGCAGATAAAACTTATGTTAACGATGAGTTAGAGAAGAAAGCAGATAAAACAGAGCTTCAAACATTAAAGACTGAAATACTTCAAACATTATATCCTATAGGCTCTATTTATACATCAATGAACTCAACAAATCCCGCAACAGTTCTGGGTTTTGGTACATGGCAGCAGATTGTAGACAAATTCTTATACTGTGCTAACTCTTCAAAGCAAACAGGAGGCTCAAAGAAAATTTTAGAAGCAAACTTACCCGCGCACACTCATACAGGAACGACAAACTTTTCTGGCGACCATATACACTCATTAAGAGACCACCCATTATACAACTCAGACTATGAAGCCGGTCATGATGTTTTATCTCCAGCTTATAACGATTCAACAAAAAAGACTTTTCGACCAACTGAACCAGGAGGAAATCATTCACACACTTTCACAACAAATCCAACAGGCTCGGGTGAAGATTATATGCCACCATTTATGACTGTATTCGCATGGTTCAGAGCTGCTTAAAGTCCTGAGCTCCAAAAGAGCGAACAACATGACATTTAGACAACAGGTACGAAAGGAGGAAGGCATTTATGAATTATTTTTGAAGAACTGATGGTGTCACTACGTCACCATGTCACCAGGTTAATTAACTTCTCTTAAAATTACTCACAACATGACATTTTGACAACAGTCCAGGAAATTTGATGCAGTCCAAAAATAAAGTTAGTTTTAAAATTATTTTTATTTTTTTATTTTGTATGTAAGAACAGAAATGTCAGTCGAAGCAAAAACATTCACGAACAAATCTAATGGCGAAACATTCACAAAAGGCACTTATAATGGTATTGAAGTCTTACGTAGAGACAAGGATGGTTACATTAATGCAACAAAGATGGCAAGAGAAGCAGGAAGGTTAAACCATTTAAACAGATTTCTCAATAGTACTAAAATGCAGGAAATTCTTGAGTTTTGGTTGAAAGAATACGGTCAAGCCAAAAGTGGCTCGACCTCAAAACAAGCATTTTATGAGCTTACTAAGGGTGTTATAAATGAATTCAAAGGTATTTACATACATCCTGACCTCGTTCATTTTGTTGCTGAATGGTGCTCTGTAAAGTATGCATTTTATGTCAAAGATATTATGGACTCCATAGACAAGAAAGTTCATGAGAAATTAGATGAAGAAGAACTCGAAGATACAGTAGAGAATGCTAAACATTTGTTTGAAGAAGAAGTTAGAAAAATGTGCGAAAAACAATTAGAACATGAACGTGAGATATGTTATGGTTATAGAGATTCTCCATACGAACTAGACCAATGGGAACAAGAAGATTTAAAGAGAGAAATTAGAGAATATGAACTCGCTAAGATAGCATTAGAAACTGCAGAAAAGAAGTTAAAAGTTTGGGGTCGTTTTGTACAAAAATATTGTGAGTAAATGAACCATTTATTTTTGTCATAAACGACCAAAAATATATTTTATCGTTAATGGTTTTTAGGTTATTCAATAATTAATTATTTTTGAATAACTGAAGGTGTCACTACGTCACCATGTGTCACCGGGTTAATTAACTTCTCTTAAAATTACTGACAACATGACATTTTGACAACAGTCCAGGAAATTTGATGCAGTCCAAAAATAAAGTTAGTTTTAAAATTATTTTTATTTTTTTATTCCTATATAAATGACAGCAACAAACAACAACAGCAACTTTATCGTTTCTGATGAAAAAGTTATTGATTCATTAGTTGCGGAATTAGTTGTGGCAGAAACTAAAACCCTCAACGAAAGAATTGGTGAAAACATGATTGATTTACATAACTACCTCAAACACGATGGAGGAAGAGGACGGAAAACTGGTATGGCTTTATTAGTAAATAAAATTTCAAATTTAACGATTATAGATGTTGATATCAATAAATCATGCAATGATGAACTTAAAGAAACAGTTAGAAAAGATATTTTATCAAAACTTTCGGATAAAGATGTTATCGTTAAAACCGCTTCAGGAGGTCTTCACATTTATTGTAACACTAATTTCTTCTATTCAGTTTCGAACAGAATGATTAAATGTTATTCCTGCAATGATTATGATATTGATATAATGACTTCTATGGATGATTCAAAGCGTTCTTTAGTAGTTATGGCTGATTCAAGAGTTCGCAAGAATGCAACAGAACCAATCAATACATACTCATTCATTCGTGGAAGTTATGATTCAACATTAACCAGAACAGTGAATGATATATTAAATGATTTGAATATTAAGGTAAGAGTTGAACAGAAGAACGAAGAAATAAAGACTATCATGAATGAAAACAAAGATGTAAACATTGACGATAAACTTGCCCAGAGCATAGTTGATGGCATCAGTGATTTTGAAGTACACAATGACGGTGGAAACATGAATTTAGAAAAAGAAGTTACATTATTCACACTGTTTCAAGCAATTAATTCGTTACCTAATCATTTAATTAATGAAGCATACGATAACGTTTATAACTTCTGCAATTTAACTGAAAATGCAAAAAGTAATTTTGAAAAAGCACGTAGTAGATATGCACATTTAATGACTTCTCCATTTGTTTTAGTGAAGATTCTAAAACTTTATCAAAAGGAATATTATGATGAATATGTTTTACCTTTATTACGTAAGCCAAAAATAACATTTGATATAAAACTTGATGACTCGTTTTTGATAACAGATATTAGACGCAAGGCTGAAAATCATCAGTATAAAAACAGTTCTGAAGTAATTGAGGATTTATCACGTGTAATCCGTTTTGTAGATTGTGGAAATAAATATTTCATTCAAAAGGACTATAATATCCACGACAAAATGAATCAAATATCATTCGTTCTTCAATCAAACATGAAAGAGTCACTTAAAATGATTAAATTATTTAAAGAAGAAGGTAAAACAATAACAGCATGGGACGTACTACTAAATCAATTATCCTCATTAACCATTAAGGGTGTTTGCTTTAAATCTGATTCTCCAGATGTTTTCTCAACGTTTCAAGGTTATAAATACAACATTCTCGAAAAGCCTGATTACTCAAATATTGAAATGTTTATGAATTTCATTAAAGAAGCCATTTGTGATAATAACCTTGAAGTGTATAAATACCTTCTCGGCTGGATTGCATCAATAATTCAACATCCTGGAATCAAGAATGAAACAGCAATTATTTTGAAAGGACTTCAGGGAACAGGTAAAAACAGATTTACAGACATTATTTCTGAACTTCTCGCCGGTTATTCATGTAAAAACATTACCGAAATAAGTGAACTAACGGGTAATTTCAATTCAGTAGTTGAGAATAAAATGTTTCTTGTACTTAATGAACTCAAGAATGTAGGTGAAGACAGACTCGCAAACTTCAACGCTTTGAAATCAATTATTACGGATAATCAAATTAGAATTAATGAAAAGAATCAACCCAGAAGAACTGCTCAGAATGTTGCCAATTTCATTTTGGTAACTAATAACGTCTACCCTGTCAAAATTGAAGTTGGAGACAGAAGATACGTAGTTTTAAGAGTTAATGGTAAATTCATGGGTCAATTTGATTACTTCAAGAATTTGATGAATTCATGCACAAAGGAATTTTATGATAATTTACTGACGTATTTTATGCAATATGACCTTTCATCATTTAATGTACGAATCATTCCGATGACTGAAGCCAAACAAGATTTAATAGAATTATCAACAAATCCTTTAGATGAATGGATAAATACACATTATGATGAATTGTGTGCAGGTATGACGTGTAAAAATGCTCTATGCTGCAAACCATCAGACATGAAAGACAAGAATTTCCAAATGAGCATTAAAGATAAATGTGATAGGAAACAGAGAAGAATAGATGGTAAACAAACATAGTGTTATGTTTTGAAAGAAGAAATGAAAGGATTATATAAACAGGTTGAACCAAACGATAATGAGGATTCATTTACTGACGATGAAATACCTGTAAATGAAGCTTTATAAAGTATGATTGGAATTTATTTTTGCATTAATCCTGCTGTGATGTCTAAATGTCATGCTGTCATCATTTTTAAGAGAAGTTAATTAACCAGGTGACACATGGTGACGCGGTGACACCTTCAGTTATTCAAAAATAATTCATAAATGCCTTCCTCCTTTCGTACCTGTTGTCTAAATGTCATGCTGTCATCATTTTTAAGAGAAGTTAATTAACCAGGTGACACATGGTGACGTGGTGACACCATCGTCTCGAAGAGACGTTGTCGAAGAGGAATAAAAATTAAATTTGGATTGAGTTTAAAAATTCATCTTTATTAAATTCATCTCTTCCAATCAATTTATTTATTCTATTAAATTCTTTTATTTTTGCTTCACTCAGTTTAATGATTGAACGGTAAGTTTCTAATTTTTCGATTATTTCTTTCCTCTCTTTATCGTTTTCAATTACTTTAGTTTTATGGGCATCAGCCCCACCGCATTGCGGCTTCTTTTTGTAATAGCATATTTTTGATTTAATTCTGTTTAGTTTCTTTTTATATTCATCGTCTGGACTCTGAATCTTAATTGAATCAGGACTCTTGGATGCTTCGTTGTCACTCATTTCTTACGAAATAAAAAAATTAAATATTATTTAAATATAATGGAGTAATAAAATAAATCGGAATTTCTATTAATTTATTGTTAACTCAACTAATGCATTGCGTTAATATATCTAACAAATTCAGCTATTGTGTCAAATCTTCGTCTTCTTTTTGTCATTGATTTATCAGTTTTTCCATAATCGAGATGAATCAAAACTTTATCCCTTGTTTAAAATTCATGAGCCCCGAATTAATTTGTTCACGTTTAACATCATTTAACCTTTCCATTTGCTTTCTAATATATTCCCATTCTTTTGAAATATCATTTTTCATTTCCACTGGTTTCATGTTTATAGTTCTATGCCATGTATTATTGTAATAATATACTAACTGCTGTATGATGGAGTCATGATTTCCATCCCAGTATATCTGACCGTTAACCCCTAACGCATCTCTAAGAGTTCTCATTACCGCATCAACTATTTTATTATGAAACGTATATGGAGAAGATGAGAAGTAAAAATTAATTTGTGGGAAATAATGAGTCATAGCTGCCTGAAATCCTTTATCACCATCACCCCTGATATTATCTACTCTTTCATGATCTAGTAAGTACTGAATAGCTCTTCTTGTTTCCTGTTCTGTTTTCCCTTTCACTGGAATGCAATATAAATATCTAGTGTTAATGTTAATGGCAAATAAATAAGTAACGTTTCCTTTTGAATATTCTAAATGATCTATTTCGTATGAATATGGATATGGTGCAAATGAAGGGCGACTAAATTTTTCCTTTAACGGTTGAATTTTTGGGTCAATTGGTTTATTTAATATCTTGAAACCCTTTTTAAAATCTTTTTGCTTCTTTAATGATTGAAATGGATATAATAAAGTGAATGATGAAGGATTAACTGAAGGAGGAGGTACTACCGTTGGAGGTTTTGGTGTTGCAAGTGGTTTAATTTTATCTGCTTTGATTTTGGATGATGAAGTTTTAGTTGTTGATTTTACTTTCATTAATTCTGGATGTATTCTATTCATTTGTTTTAAATATGTTGTATATAAAGGTTTGATATACTTTCCCGCTTCGAGTTTATGTTGAAGGATGAATTCCAAAAGTTGATCTTCATTTAAAAGTCGGCTGAATATGGTTTAACTAATGAATCATAAATTAAAGCTTGTGCTTCATTTATGGTCTGAAGGACCTGGGCGTTTTGCACCTTTAGCTGTTGAACATTTGCTACTTTCTCTTTTGGTGTTGTTTTCGGCTTTTTCTTCTTTGTTTTTGTTCCTTTGGCTTTTGCGGCTCAGGATTATATAATTTATATAATTCATCAATATCTTCTTCTGTTAATACTTTATTTTTGAAATCTTTCAACTGTTTAAGTTGTGATTTAGTTTTTCCCTTTGTATATTCATTATTTTTAATTTTGTCTTTAATTTCAGAAATTATTTTATCATGATATTTCAAAATTTCATTTTTATAATACGGATAATAATCCATATCATCACCCGTTATATTTTTATTATGTTTTTCGAGATATGATTTTAATTCATAATATAGGGTGTCCAAAGGTGCGTTTAGCACAGCGCTCTATATCAGACTATTAAAGGAGATATATGCTGATTATAAATATATAATAAAAAATATGAATATATGTATATGATGAGTAAGTTGTATTTTGGCGCCATGCCGGGATATAAAATGAATTTTGAGACAAGAGGCGGTTTCGCGGGAAATTTTGGCGGGATTTTTTTCATTTTTTTAATGAATCATAAAGAAAACATCCTCGCTCTTGCAAAAAAATGCAAAGACTGTAAAAAAATCTACGAGACATTGGTAAATGCTTCGGTATGGAATGCTCTAGCTATTCCACTGTAACGTATCATGTTAGGATGTATCACTTCATGAACAAAAAAGGCGCCCATCATAAAAATTGACAAAAAATCGCCGGATCAAAAGAAAAATCAAAGCAATTCTTCAAGCGCTAGATGAAGACCCAAGAGCATCATCAGAAGGATAGAGGAGATGACAAAGATACCACGTACAACAGTCAGTTATTATCTGCACAATTATTTGAACTACAAACTAGCGTATACACGTTGGGTTTCCGCACAACCTTAATTCAGTTCAAAAAAAAATCTAGAGTCCAATCTTCGAAAGAGCTCCTCTCTATATTGAGTGCGTATCAATCCAAGAAGTTTCGCTTTTTAGTAACAGGGGACGAGTCTTGGTTTCAATATGCAACAGAAGCCAAAATCATGTGGATCCCGAAGGATGAAAATCCGCAAACATTCCGAAGAAAAAAATTGACACACCAATGATGATGTTGTCGGTTTTTTGGGGCGTGAATGGCATCATCGCAATTGATATTCTTCAAAAACCTAATACGATGAATGCTCAGTATCTAATTGACAATGTTCTTACTCAAATTATCAATTCTGATGAGTTTGAGAAATCCAAACAACAAAAACAAAAGTTTGCAATTCATTTTGATAATTCAAGAGTTCACAAAGTCATAAGGTAATGAATTACTTGGTGGAAAACAATGTCAAAGTTGTTCCAAACCAATTTATTCACCTGATATTGCACCCTCTGACTTTTATTTATTCGGCACGCTAAAAAAGAGCTGAAGGACGCGAATTCGCGAGTCCAGATGATCTTGAAAATTTTTGTAAGAGAGCAATTTGAGCAATTTTCTCATGATGATTTAAAGCGTGTCTTTCAGCCTGGATCGATCGCTGCGAACGCGTGATTGAATCCAATGGTGATTATATTTAAATAAACTTTATATATATGTAACTTGTTTATTTCTATTTGCAGTATTCAGGTTTGTGCTAAACACACCTTTGGACACCCTATAATTAAGAAAATTTTGATTAAGTACTAAATCATCAATTAAATTTTCTAAATCTGCGTTATCCATTTATATAAAAATAAAATAAATGTTTTAATGGTGCCCACCTCTTTGAATCATAGTATAAAACCATTATTTACATATTGAATCGCATCATTAACGGTTCCTTTTGTCTCTTCTGTGGCATTTTATTAAAATAAAATTTTAAATTGTATTAATAAATGGCATACAATCCATTTTCACAACATACAGCCTTAGTGTGTGCTCCTGTTAATGCAGTCTTACCGATTGTTAAGCGAGTCATTGACCCGTTTTTAAGTTGTAAATTAATATTCTGACCATCAAATATCACTTTATCATTTATTATATCCAAATAATTTTTAGGTGTTAATTGTTTATTTTGTCGTAAACTAACACCTTTCATTTTTTGTGCAATCTTTTTAAAATCACCTCCATCAATTGAACCGCTGAATGATGTATAACACTTAGGGCATAAAGCAACCATGTTATCACCTTGTTTCTCAATTGCTAAACCCAATAACTTCTTCTCATGTGCTTTTTCTTCAGCTTTATTCTTTAATTTAGGTTTAAATTTCTCATCAAAACAGAAGAAATCAAATGGTGCGAATTTGAAAATGTTTTTATCATAAAATTGTTTATCGGTTACAATTGCTTGAAATGCTTGAGTGTTAGGAAATTTGGATCGCCAGCGATTGCCCAATAAGATGAATCAGTATCACCTTCAATGAAATGAAAACGATTAACATCCATGCATTTATACATAAAATCATAAATGAAAACCAAAATACCAGTATTTAGCATTATCTAAAGTGAAGAATGCCTCTTGTAAACATGTATCACAGCTATAAAATCTATCTTTGAGCATCAGTTGATATGTATCTTCACCTATTTCTCTTATGTTTTTAAACTTATTTGACATACATGCAACGCGTGCCTTCTGTGCATTCATTATTTTAGTCTTTGCGTAATTTTGCGTATTCATTGCATCGTAACCATATGATCCATTAAGTGAAATCTTGCAAAATAAACTTTTTCCTTTATTTCCTTCTAATTCAGCCTTTTGTCTTTCGTTCATAAATTCGTTCGCAAATTCATTAAAAAGTGTTTTTCGTAAATGTTAAAATTGATTGAATATCATCGATGATAAAATGAAATCTGTCTATTAGATACCAAAGATAATAAGAAGAAAATGGTTGAATATTGGTTGTGTGTTGATGCTAACTGAGTTAATTTCCTCTGTTTCTGGTCAACTGGTAGATTGTTTGATTTCATGTAATTATACATAAAACTGCCAATTGTTTTTTCATCTGTGATAATATCTAAGTTTCTTATTATCGGTAAAAAGTTTATGTAATCATTAATGTATTTTTCATCAATGTGACCCTTTACTTCAGCCACGAATAAGGTATTTTTCTTCTTAATTATTCCCAGTGCTTTTGCTTTCTTTGTTGCTGTATCACAAATGATAACACCATTCAATCCTCCCGGCATATACATTTTATGGTCAGTATATTGAATGAAATCATGAGGATTAGATGAAAATGATGAAGGATATAATGAATTAAAATCAACACCAACGAAATGAGTCATGATGTTGGAAGTGTCCTCATTTGATACAGTTTTAGTTTCTGGACTATATAAAAGTTTATTAATGTGCGTGATTCCTGTAAGATTAACACGATGTTGAACATTTGATAGACCACCAGTAATTCCATTACGGAGAATGTGATAAGCTTCAACTGAATCTAAAGTCATTGGTAAATTATTTTTTAATGCATAATTTCTTAAATTGATTCTTAAACGTTGAACATCTTCATCTTTATTTGATTTTACGACATTGCAATAACAACACATTAACTGACAATTTTCTTTGGTATGCGGTTTTTCATTATCGATTCTATCCAATGTTGGTTTATTTGCATATGTAAACGCTTTACCACACATTTTGCATTTAGATGAAAGGATTAAATCGTGATAGTATTGAAAATCATCCATTGAAACATTATTTTAGTATCTCTTTCTGCTTTTTCATCTTGTTTCTTATATGATTCAATTTTATATTCCAATACTTTTTCGTTAATTCAAAACTTGATTCTATCTCTTCCTCAGGATATTTTCATTAGGATTAAAGTCTTTATATGCTAAAGCGTAACGAATCATTGAAGCATTCGATGATAAAGAAAGATTATGAAGCATATCAATTTTATAAACAAATGTTTCTTCAATAATTTTATCGATTGGTCAATCATAATTTCAACATCTTTATTGCAATAATGAATAAAATATTCTAATCTATTCTTAAAATTTTTAGCATCATTGAGATATATTTGATAATCACTATCTGATATAGTTTCTTGAGTTAATGCTGAATAAAATGAATCTTGAGTGAATGGTTCCACTTTATATAATTCTTCTTCGTAATTTTCCCACGTGATGAATTGATAAGGGAAAAAGGATTTAACACGTGATTTATTGTTTCCGAAATCTTGAGTGAATTGGTCTAATGTCCCACCCGCTATATAATTTCTGATGTCAATAAATCTCAATTCATATGGAACGTTTGTTTTCTTTACAATGATTTGCTTAAATTGAGAAGAAGAACCCAGTATTGATTTTATTTTCCGTTTTGCAGTGTTTAAATCACGAAGAATTAAATTTAAATCAAACTTTCCCGAATTAAAACCTATGATATTCACTTTATTGAATTCCTCATCTAGAAGTTCTTTAAATGCTTCCTTCTGTTTTTCATTTAATGTATGGGACAAAGTCCCCGCCGTTTGCGGCTTCATTAATTCTTCATATTGTTCAATATTTGATTTAGCAACTAATGAACAGGTTGAAAATAAAAACTCAATCCAATCAGAAATAAAAGAATCACTCGAAGTTAAGCAAAAATTCCTCGTATATGTTTTATCATTTAATTTAACCGTTGATGATACCATGAATGGTTTTAAGTAAGCGTTCAAAGTTGCACACTCAGAAAGTTGTAATTCTTCTTTAGTCTCTAATGTTTCGAAGTCAAAAGTAATATAATATCTTGTCGGTTTATAATATTCCTGCAAATTATGAGCTAATAACCACTGATATATCTTCTGTTTCGTAATATGTGGTGCATATGGTTGCTGGGTCTTTTGCAATTGAACATCTTGAATTAATCTTCCATTATTTTCTTTACATTTCTCACAATGCTTTAAAAATCTTCTTTGGTTTTTCCTTTCTGGATCATCACGGATAGAATAAACTTCTTCTTTACAATATGTACAAACTTTATAGCCGGTGAGTGCTTCAACGTCTGTTATTCTGTCAGCGTGAAGTTTTCCACATGGACTCTGTGTTAATAAAATATTTACTGTTTCAAATTCTGGATCTATCATTATTGATTCCACTAATGGAAAGTCTACCTTATTTATGTCCACGTCTTCTGGTTGAGGATCACAATAATAGAAATCAATATTAACATTTAACATTCTCGCTAATCTCTCACTTTCTGATGAAATGTCAAACCCTTCATATGCATCTATGGCTTCATTTAAATAGCTTCTACGAGTTTTAGGATTAACACCATCAGGAATGTTATAGAAGCGTTTAAATAACCTTCTACCTTCTGCTCTAATTTGATTATCATTCATTTTAGCTGTTCCGTTTTTGTTCATTTATGTAAGAATAAAAAATTAAAAAATAAATAAAAATAAAGTTTATTTTTTAAAGCCCATAAAATGAATTAAGAACACATAAATTTTTATCATCTGCGACGTGACGAATACATTTTAATTTACTCAAGAATGCGTACCCTGATACATTAAATCTAATTCCTGTCTTATTTAATTTCACAACTTTGAAAAGGAATGTATGAATAGCTATAAAATGATGAGAAGATGTTTTATGGGTTGCTTCCATTTTTTCTGAAATAAATGAATAAATATAATGTTTATAAGTTTTCATATCTTTTATGTTCTTAATAACGAATGGTATAGACCTTTCAACTTCGTCTTCCTTCGGTGCTGTTCTTTCATATGAAACATTATTAGTATCTTCAATAATGAAACCACAATCACACAAAATTTTATAGGTTCCAATGGTTTCTTTTGATATTTTATCTAATAAATCAAAAACTTTATCAACACATGTGCATTTATTTAAATATAATATTGTGTAAATATCATGATCTTCTTTCTTAATCGTATTAGTTGCATATGTCACGTTTTTAAGAGCTTTTTTGAATTTCTCAGAATCGAGAGGCGGTGAAAGTAGGATACAGGGGTATTCTTCATTATCAATAAATTGTAACTTATGTTTACGAATAAATTTAGTACCTTCTTCTGAAAGTGTTTCGTCTATTTCACCATCTAATAAATTTTGTGTTGATTCTGAGACATAATTTTTATATCTTTCTTCATGAGATTTCTGTACTTCTGATTCTGAAGCTGGGATATTCATTAAACCCTCTACTTCATTTTCATTATATTTTTCAACTTCTCTTAATTCCTTAATTTTTTCATCTATTTCATCTCTTATTTTTTTCAGTCTTTCAATTTCATTGTATTCATCATCTTTAATCCGTTCTTCATAATATTCAGGGAAAACATCAGGTTCTTTAGGTTTTTCTTCTTCAGATGTGGGATATAAGAAATTTATAACATCATCTTTATTCATTTTTCCATCATAATCTAAATCATTTAATAACTCGGCAAATTTTTGACAATTTCTTAAATAATATTTATTAACTTCATAACCTACCTCCTCTAATATATCCTTTATTTCCTCGTTTGTGAATCCTAATTTTTTAATGTTGTTAGTTTTGACGCTCATTTCATACAAAATAAAAAAATAAATTATTCAAAAATGTAAGACATGAATTTTTAAAGTTTATTTTTTAAAAATTTTTTTTATTTCATTATGGTAGTGAATCTTTTATTCATGAAAATAATTATTTCTAATTTCTTTTACTCTCTCGTACATACTAGATTTAAAGAATTCAGAACATTTCCCATAATCTCCTAAATGTTTTCTTATCCCTAACGTGTGCCAGTTATTATATGAAACTGAATAAACTTTATCTTTATCTTTATCTTTACACCTTTCATAGTAGTATATGTGGAGGGGTGTGTGACTTTTTTTGTAAACGTAAGAATTCATACAATATTGAACGATTTTGTATCATTTTTTCTAACATATGAAGTAAAAAATGTATGATTCTTACGGTTTTTATTCTTACGTTTTTGAATAAATCAAGATTTAAAAAATTGAATTCTTACGTAAAATTAAAACTAAGTTAAATTTATTTTTTATTTAATGATAAATGAGTATAACAACTAATTCATTGAAATCTTTAAAGTTCACTAATTCAGAACTAGAAAATATTTTAGAAAATTTTGGAGACGGTTCTTATCCAACATATATGCAGAATGTGAAAGAGTTTTCCAGATTGTTGAATGAATTTAAATATAACGGACCAATTACTAAAAAGGCTATAATGAGATATTTATATCCCAAAAAAGTTGAAAAACAGGAAAATATTCCTCTTTATGGTCCAGAGAGCCTTGAAACACCTCCTGAATATTTTGAAGAAAAAATTAAACAAGATGAATATTATAACGATGAGATTGAGAAATTGGAAAAAATAAGAGATGAAATAGATGAAAAAATTAAGGAATTAAGAGAAGTTGAAAATGAAGTAGAGGGTTTAATGAATATCCCAGCTTCAGAATCAGCAGTTCAGAAATCTCATGAAGAAAGATATAAAAATTACTTTTTGGAATCTACTAAAAATTTATTAGATGGCGAAATAGATGAAACACTTTCAGAAGAAGGCACAAAATTTATTCATAAACATAAGTTACAATTTATTGACGATGGAGATTATTCATGTATATTACTTTCACCTCCTCTTGATTCTGAAAAATTCAAAAAAGCACTGAAAAATGTAACATATGCAACTAATACGATTAAGAAAGAAGACCATGATATTTACACAAATTATTATTTAAATAAATGTACAGGTGTTGATAAAGTTTTTGATTTGTTAGATAAAATATCAAAAGAAACAATTGGAACCTATAAAATTTTATGTGATTGTGGTTTCATTATTGAAGATACCAATAATGTTTCATATGAAAGAAACTAAACAGAATTAAATCAAAAATATGCTATTACAAAAAGAAGCCACAATGCAGTGAGGTTGAAAACGATAAAGAAATAATCGAAAAATTAGAAACTTACCGTTCAATCATTAAACTGAGTGAAGCAAAAATAAAAGAATTTAATAGAATAAATAAATTGATTGGAAGAGATGAATTTAATAAAGATGAATTTTTAAACTCAATCCAAATTTAATTTTTATTCCTCTTCGACAACATCTCTCTTTCCATCATTACTGCATAACCACATTTTCTCAATTTTAGTGGTTTGTTATTTTTAACATGTTCTTGCATCATTTTTATCATTTCCTCCCTTGTTATGATTCGTGGTAAATTTTGAGCTTGTGGGGTATCCATTTATGATAAAAATAAAAATTTAAATTATGCCGTTCTAAAGTTTGTGACAACATGACATTTTGACAACACAGCATGGGAAGGTAGTTATGAATTATTTTTGAAGAACTGAAGGGGTCACCAGGTCACCAGGTCATTTAACTTCTCTGAAAAAATGAGACAACATGACATTTTGACAACACAGCGGGATTAATGCAAAAATAAATTCAAATCATACTTTATAAAGCTTCATTCACAGGTATTTCATCGTCAGTAAATGATTCCTCATTATCGTTTGGTTCAATTTGTTTATATAATCCTTTCATTTCTTCTTTCAAAACATAATACCATGTTTGTTTACCATCTATTTTTCTTTGTTTCCTTTCACATTTATCCTTAATGCTCATTTGAAAGTTTTTGTCTTTCATGTCTGATGGTTTGCAGAATAGAGCATTTTTACACGTCATACCTGCACATAATTCATCATAATGTGTATTTATCCATTCATCTAAAGGATTTGTTGATAACTCGATTAAATCTTGTTTGGCTTCAGTCATCGGAATGATTCGTACATTAAATGATGAAAGGTCATATTGCATAAAATACGTCAGTAAATTATCATAAAATTCCTTTGTGCATGAATCCATTAAATTCTTGAAGTAATCAAATTGACTCTTGAATTTACCATTAACTCTTAAAACTACGTATCTTCTGTCTCCAACTTCAATTTTGACAGGGTAAGCGTTATTAGTTACGAAAATGAAGTTTGCAACATTCTGAGCAGTTTTCTGGGTTGATTCTTTTCATTAATTCTAATCTCATTGTCCGTAATAATTGATTTCAAAGCGTTGAAGTTTGCGAGTCTGTCTTCACCTACATTCTTGAGTTCATTAAGTACAAGAAACATTTTATTTTCAACTACTGAGTTGAAATTACCCGTTAGCTCACTTATTTCAGTAATGTTTTTACATGAATAACCGGCGAGAAGTTCAGAAATAATGTCTGTAAATCTGTTTTTACCTGTTCCCTGAAGTCCTTTCAAAATAATTGCTGTTTCATTCTTGATTCCAGGATGTTGAATTATTGATGCAATCCAGCCGAGAAGGTATTTATACACTTCAAGGTTATTATCACAAATGGCTTCTTTAATGAAATTCATAAACATTTCAATATTTGAGTAATCAGGCTTTTCGAGAACGTTGTATTTATAACCTTGAAACGTTGAGAAAACATCTGGAGAATCAGATTTAAAGCAAACACCCTTAACGGTTAATGAAGACAATTGATTTAGTAGTACATCCCATGCTGTTATGGTTTTACCTTCTTCTTTAAATAATTTAATCATTTTAAGTGACTCTTTCATGTTTGATTGAAGAACGAATGATATTTGATTCATTTTGTCGTGTATGTTGTAATCTTTCTGAATGAAGTATTTGTTTCCACAATCTACAAAACGAATTACACGTGATAAATCCTCAATTACTTCAGAACTGTTTTTATACTGATGATTTTCAGCCTTGCGTCTAATATCTGTTATCAAAAACGAGTCATCAAGTTTGATATCAAATGTTATTTTTGGCTTACGTAATAAAGGTAAAACATATTCATCATAATATTCCTTTTGATAAAGTTTTAGAATCTTCACCAAAACAAATGGAGAAGTCATTAAATGTGCATATCTACTACGTGCTTTTTCAAAATTACTTTTTGCATTTTCTGTTAAATTGCAGAAGTTATAAACGTTATCGTATGCTTCATTAATCAAATGATTAGGTAACGAATTAATAGCTTGAAACAGTGTGAATAATGTTATTTCTTTTTCTAAATTCATGTTTCCACCATCATTATGTACTTCAAAATCACAGATGCCATCAACTATGCTCTGAGCTAGTTTATCGTCAATGTTTACATCTTTGTTTTCATTCATTATACTCTTTATTTCTTCGCTCTTCTGTTCAACTCTTACCTTAATATTCAAATCATTTAATATATCATTCACTGTTCTAGTTAATGTTGAATCGTAACTTCCACGAATGAATGAGTATGTATTGATTGGTTCTGATGCATTCTTGCGAACTCTTGAATCAGCCATGACTACTAATGAACGCTTTGAATCATCCATTGAAGTCATTATGTCGATATCATAATCATTGCAGGAATAACATTTAATCATTCTGTTCGAGGTTGAATAGAAGAAATTAGTGTTGCAATAAATGTGAAGACCTCCTGATGCGGTTTTAACGATAACATCTTTATCCGAAAGTTTTGATAAAATGTCTTTTCTAACTGTTTCTTTAAGTTCATCATTGTACGATTTATTGATATCAACATCTATAATCGTTAAATTTGAAATTTTATTTACTAATAAAGCTGTACCAGTTTTCCTTCCTCTTCCTCCATCATGTTTGAGGTAGTTATGTAAATCAATCATGTTTTCACCAATTCTTTCGTTGAGGGTTTTAGTTTCTGCCACAACTAATTCCGCAACTAATGAATCAATAACTTTTTCATCAGAAACGATAAAGTTGCTGTTGTTGTTTTTGCTGTCATTTATATAGGAATAAAAAAATAAAAATAATTTTAAAACTAACTTTATTTTTGGACTGCATCAAATTTTCTGTGATGTTGTCTAAATGTCATGTTGTCTCATTTTTTCAGAGAAGTTAAATGACCTGGTGACCTGGTGACCTGGTGACCCCTTCAGTTCTTCAAAAATAATTCATAACTGCCTTCCCCTGCTGTGTTGTCTAAATGTCATGTTGTCTCATTTTTTCAGAGAAGTTAAATGACCTGGTGACCTGGTGACCTGGTGACCCCTTCAATTCTTCAAAAATAATTCATAACTGCCTTCCCCTGCTGTGTTGTCTAAATGTCATGTTGTCTCATTTTTTCAGAGAAGTTAAATGACCTGGTGACCTGGTGACCTGGTGACCCCTTCAATTCTTCAAAAATAATTAATTATTGAATAACCTAAATCATTTACTCACAATATTTTTGTACAAAACGACCCCAAGCTTTTAACTTCTTTTCTGCAGCTTCTAATGCTATCTTAGCGAGTTCATATTCTCTAAATTCTCTCTTTAATTTTTCTTGTTCCCATTGGTCTAGTTCGTATGGAGAATCTCTATAACCATAACATATCTCACGTTCATGTTCTAATTGTTTTTCGCACATTTTTCCAACTTCTTCTTCAAACAAGGTTTAGCATTCTCTACTGTATCTTCAAGTTCTTCTTCATCTAATTTCTCATGAACTTTCTTGTCTATGGAGTCCATAATATCTTTGACATAAAATGCATACTTTACAGAGCACCATTCAGCAACAAAATGAACGAGGTCAGGATGTATGTAAATACCTTTGAATTCATTTATAACACCCTTAGTAAGCTCATAAAATGCTTGTTTTGAGGTCGAGCCACTTTTGGCTCCACCGTATTCGTTCATCCAAAACTCAAGAATTTCCTGTATTTTAGCACTATTGAGAAATCTGTTTAAATGGTTTAACTTTCCTGCTTCTCTTGCCATCTTTGTGCATTAATGTAACCATCCTTGTCTCTACGTAAGACTTCAATACCGTTATAAGTGCCTTTTGTGAATGTTTCGCCATTAGATTTGTTCGTGAATGTTTTGCTTCGACTGACATTTCTGTTCTTACATACAAAATAAAAAAATAAAATAATTTTAAAACTAACTTTATTTTTGGGTCATTTACACTCATTCCGATGAAGTCATGACAAATCATTTTCTGTGTTGTTGTCAAAATGTCATGTTGTCTCATTTTTTCAGAGAAGTTAAATGACCTGTGACCTGGTGACCTGGTGACCCTTCAGTTCTTCAAAAATAATTAATTATTGAATAACCTAAATCATTTACTCACAATATTTTTGTACAAAACGACCCCAAGCTTTTAACTTCTTTTCTGTAGTTCATCCATTACTTCATTACCTAATTAATTACAGACATAAAATATATTTAGTTCATTCGGTAAGCCTAAACCCTTTGGGTTAAGTGTGTTCATTGAACTCTATACCATGCGAATACAGTCATAAATGGCGGCATGTATTCTTTACTTTGTCCGTTGTTTGTGTATATCCTGAAACGAAATGTGTATGGTTTCCTTCTCCCTGAGTGTCACTCCAGTAACAATTTATGGCAAACTTAACGTCGTCTTTAACATCATATCCTTTACCTTTTGTCATTCCTGACCAATCCAATATCTATGCTTATGCCAACCTGCTTGAGATGTGCTTAAATCTATGTAGTGACTATGTGCAGGTAAATTTTCACCTGAAATCGTTTTACTTCCCCCTGTTTCCTTTGAAGAGTTTGCACAATACAAAAACCTGTCAACTATTTGTTCCCATGCACCAACACCAAACATTACTTGAGGACCTCTTGCATCCATAGATGTATAAATAGAACCTACTGGGTTCATTAAATCAAACATATGAATATTATAGGATTGTCTCTTTTGAACTTAAAATATAGTGTAACTATTTCAGGTTTCTTCTGGTTTGTGTCAGAATATTTTTTATAATATAATCTTATGTTTTCAGGGTAGGTAAAATCTTGACTATAATATTTATTTCTGTCATCTGTATAATAATATACTATTCTCGTTTTTTCTATTGCATTATATCTTTTATATCTATAAT